TCTGCCTCCACTCCTGCCAGCCTAGCAGCCTGGCCCTCTGCACAGCCCCCCCCCCCACCTCTGCACTGCACCCAGTCTGGCTGATGGCCTCTCGGCTCTCAGCGCTGCAGGGAAGCAGCCTTTTGGACCTTCTGTGCCTGTCCCTCCCCAGGGATACTGCAGGCTGTGCCTGCCACCGGATCCCAGCATCTGGAACAGCGCCTGGCTCAGAGTAGGCGCTCTATAAATATTTGTGGGATACATGGGAAGAACAGGAGCGCAGAGGAAGGGCAGAGGGCAGAGGGCTCCGTTCCGGCATCCTCGGACCCTGGGAGCTGGATGACTCCTCCTTCCCGCCATCGCCCGTAGCGGAGTCTGAGACATGCCTGCCACCCCCCCACCCCCCACCCCCCACTGCAGCATAGGCTTGACTGCAGACACATCCCTGTCCCTTCCATACTTTCACTCAAGCTACCCTTCAGCACAGAGGACAAGCTCTTCCTCCCCGCAAAGGCTACCAGATCTGGTACTTTCTGTCCCCTCATCCCTAGCAGGCTCTTCCCATCCCCGGGGCTCCAGGGTTCTTCCTGTCTCTGCACTTTTTGCTACTCTGCCAGGTTCCAATGCATCTCGGGCAAACTGCCGGAGCAGGGCCCAGGGGTTAGGGGAGGTCCCGAGCTCCAGGCTGGAACCCTCAGCCACCTGCTGGCTGTGAGAGTCAGTTATGGGACTTACCTGAGTCTCAGTGTCGGGGATAAAAAGGTTCACGGGAAAAGGTGAGGGCCAAGGACAGGGCAGAAGTTCACTGGATGCTCAGCTTAGCCCCCTGGGTAGACATGGGAGGGGCCTGGGGGGGGCACGCAGACTGCTCTTACTTCCCACCCCTGCTGGCTGGGGACCCAAGTGCCTTTTGATTCCTTGGGTTCTTGTGCAGAGGTCAAGTTAGCATCAAGTAGACACTCCTCAGAGAAAACTCCATGCCCCCAGTGAGCATCAACCGCCCACGCAGCAGCAGCCCAACGAATTTCCCACAGGCACCTGGCCTGTAGCTGTAACCTTACTCAAAAATGCCCTGTGCCGTCTGCCCAAACAGAGGGGTCTCAGGAACAGCCTCAACACAGTGAGCTTGGCCTGGTGACATTCAAACGCTCCCTGATCGGTTTAATTATCAGACCATCCCTACAAACCATGTGGCCCGTATTCCCACTTCTCAGCCAAGAGAGCTGAGCCCAGCCAGGATAAGAACTTGTTGGCAGATAGCTCTGAAGCAAAGACAGGGGCAGGCCGGGACCAGGCCTGTCCTGCCCCAGAGCCAAGCTCTTCTTGCACTTCAGACCTTGTGGAGCTGTGCCTTCCAAGTCCCAGCAACAGCCTCAGCACTGGCTGTCACACACCTGTGGCTAATGAAAGGCTTGGCGTCCCATGCCAGAAGCAGGTGACTGCCATCAAAGCTTTAAAAGGCAACTCAAGAGCAAGGCCAGCTCTGGTCAGGAAAGATAAAGGCAGTGTGTGAGGCAGGGGGGTTGTGAGCCTGGGAAAGGGGACCCAGGCACAAGAGGGATCGATTGCCTCATAGGTCAGCCTCCTGTGCCCGGGCATCACACGCACGTACACATACATGCATACACCCACATGCACAATCGCAGGACCCAGATACTTTATACACAAACGCCACTCCTGAACTGGGCCCACCTACCCACCTTTGTGTCTCTCTCTGCAGGTCCCTAGCCAGTCACTGCCACACAGGCCTCTGCCCAGGACAGGACAGTCTGTTCGGTAGGAATTAGGATCCCAGCCCAAGGGCAGGACAGTGAGTGCGGCTCACAGATGCCTGCCTGTCGCTCCCTGTCTGGGGCCACCTGGCCAGCTCCTGCCCCCTTCTTACGAAGCTAGGTCCCAATGTCCCAGTGCCCTGACTGTCTCCTACCAGGCAGACAGCTGCATCCTGAGAACAGGCCCCAGGCCTCGGCCCAGCTCCACGCAGCTGACTCGCAAAGAAGACTCTAACCACTGCAAAGGTTGTCTAGGCCACCATCCCGGAGTCCCATGCGCCTGTATCCCACGCCTACACGTCTGGAATCTGTTGCCATCTGTTCCGTAAAGCCACCAGGAAGACTCAATCGAAAGGCACTTGGGTGGGAATCTTGGGAAGAGAGAGAGGCAGCCAGGAGCTAGTGAGAGGAACTTGTCACTGGGACCTCCCGGTGACCTGCGTGGCTACACTAATTACCAATGTTATCGGGCGGACAACAGCCGTGCCCCGAACTTCCTCCGTTTGATAGATCCGCGGCAAACACGCCCAGCTTCAGCCCCAGGCCTGCTGATTCCAGCAGCAGCTACTCTTCCACCCCTGCGCCCAGACCCTCTAACCTCCTGCCCCAGGCCTCCAAGGTCAGGCAAGCTAGCAAGGCAAAGAGAAGGCCTCCTGTAGGGACACGCCAGGCTGGATCAATGATAACCACCAAGGGACAGAAAACATCTCTCCTTTTGACGCCCCAGATGCTCTAGGAGATGAAAGCTACTGCTTACCTTTGTTACTCCTGCTGCTGGGGAGCTCCAGCCCATGGGTGCCTGGTTGACGAGCCCTTGACCTGCACAAACCAGGGTCCCACATTCCACGCAGGCACCAATGATCAGCTGCCTGCCGTCATCCACCAACAGGCTGTGGCTGGCTCTCAGGGTATACAGGAACAAGGGCAGCCTGGCCACCCTCACTGACTTCAGGCCCAGACACCGTTTCTTCTCTTGCTGACAGAAGAAGCACACGAACGTGTCCACCTGGTACTGCCTAGACCAGGCGCTGACAGCCTGGTGAGAGGCTCTGGCTTCGTGCTGCAGCCATTGACCCAGCAAGTCGTGATAGCAGAGCACACAGGTGGTCACCAGGCCGGTGGAGTCTGCAGGCCTGGCCCGTGGGGCGGGCGGATAGACGGTGAGGAAAGGAAAGAAGGGCTCCTTCTCGCCCAGGTGGCTAGCGGGGTTCATGCTGAGCTGGAACTCCTTGCCCGGCCCCAACTCAGCCCCGCAGATGTAACAGACGGCAGGCGGGCCTCCCTGCGCGGAAGCGGGCAGCTCGCTCAGAGTAGGGTCCGAGGCGGAGAAGGCTTGGTGGTACCTGCCCAGGAAGCCTTGCACCGAGCTGATGAGCTCACGGTTGTGCGATGCCCGGTACAGGGCCCAGACGTCCTCCAGGACGCTGAAGCATTTGGGACAGCTGCGAACCTCGCAGCGCTTGTTGGGGGGCCGAGCGTTGGGTGGGCAAGGAAGGAGGCTGAGGAAGGGGAAGTGCATGGAGCTCCCCGAGTTGCCATTGACGATGCGGGAGGGCACAGCCCGGGCATCCCGTGTACAGTCCTCCCCGCAGAGGTAGCAGGCCTCCCGCAGCAGCCCCGCGGCGGTGGCGGGCCCCTCCTCTCTGGGGAGTCTCCGGGCCTTGGAGGCCATGCCGGGGGCGTGGCTGTTCAGGGGAACCACATAGAGCCGCTGCAGGACAGGCACGTTGGCCAGCTCGAAGCTCTGCCACTGGTGCGTGAGGGACGAGAAGCAGCAGGGACACACGAGGGTGCTGCCCGCCTCGGTGATGGGCTGGGCGCCGGGCGGGGGGCTGTGCAGCCACAGGAAGGGGAAGAAGGGCGCCTGAGCGGGCGCCTCCTGCTTCTGCACGTGGATCTGCTGCTGCGAGGCCGGCGACAGCGCCGACCCACAGACGTAGCAACAGCGGGCCTGGCTGTCTGCGGGCGTCGGGGGAGGCCGCTCCAGGCCCTCGTCCCCAAGGCTCCCTGCGACGTCGCTGCCCTCGGGGGTGCCGCTGCGCTCTGGGGGTCCCACGGTCCGGCTAGAGGCGGCGCTGTCCGTGCCGTCGGGCGCTGTAGGGACAGTGGGGACAGGCCAGGGTTCCTGGACGCCCCTCAGCACGCTGGCCCGCGGCTCGGGAGCCCAGTGCGTCCCGGGCCCCGTGCGTCGGCGCCGGGCTCCCGGCTTAGTGGTGTCGTGAGCATCCTCGGGCTCGGGCTCCGGCTCGGGCTCCGGCTCCGGTAGCGCGTCGGCGTCCGACAGCTCCGACAGCTCCGAGTCGCGCGCGTCCTCGGCGTTCCACTCGCGGGCCCCACGCCGGCCGCCCGCGCTCGCGTCGCACTGGTGCGGCCGCTTGAGCCAGTACACGCGCTTGTCCACGGGCGTGCGCGCGCGCTCGAAGGCGGCCCACTGCTCGGCCAGGAAGCAGCGGCACACGGCGCACACCAGCACGCAGCCATCGGCAGCGCTCAGCCCGCGCGCACCGGGCGCCGGCTCCTGCTGCTGCAGGAACGGGAAGAAGGGCTGCGCGGGGCCCGCCGGCCTCACCGGCAGCTTCAGCTCCTTGCCGCGCGCGATGCCGCCG